CCGTGGGCTGTGAACACAGAACAATTGTCATGTCCTGTCCCCAACCCCTCCGCCACCTCCACACACACCAGCCACTCTTCTGGGCACCGTCTTTTGATGGTCCGTCAACAAGTCCTCAAGTCCTAGGATTTCCCTTCAGAAGCCTCTACCTTTTCTACCAGTGCTGGCCACCAGCCCAAGCCACCATAAACAGTGGCTGGCATTATTGCACCAGACTGGACTGTGCTCTCGAGTCCGTGGCCAGTTCCTGGAGGACCTAGCACAGAGTGATTGTTTTAAGCCAAGGGAATGACTACTGTGTATCTTCCTGTAGCTTCCCAGGCCACTTGGAATAAAATATGGAGCCCCGGCCATACTCCGAAAGCCATCCAAGGCCTGCCCACCCTCCTGCTTCTTCTTCCCTGCCTGTCAGCTACAGCCACACTGTTTCCAGGGCCCTGGCTCCTGCTGTGTTCAGCCTGTGATACCTTCCCCAGATGACTTTATGTTTGGCTTTCTTATTTCCCCCAGCCAAGTAGGTTTCCATTGTCAGAGTCCTACCCAACCATTACTCTTTATGTAATGGCTCCACCCCTCCCAGGGCCTCATCTTCAGGTGCCTCTGTGCCCCCATTAACACTTAACCACTGCTGACAAACTGGTACCGTGTGTGCTGTCTGTCTGTCACTGCTTCCACTCTGACACATCACAGGCACTTAGCCAGTGTTTGATGAGTGACGTGTAGAGAGAATGGTTCCTTGGCCCCTCTCGGGTAGTGCTTATACTCAGTACTTCTCTGTGTCATGTGTTACCCTGCACTGTTAATGGTGTCAGGACCTGGGAGGTGTGTAGCTGGTCTCTGGCAGTTTCAGGGGAGAAATGGTGTTATTTAAGTAAGGGATACACTTCTTCTAAAAGTGTAAACCCATAACGACTGAAATACATTTCCCTCTTCTGCTTCTGTGCCCATCTGCCTCCTATACAAAGCATAAGCAACACATAAATAAAAAGTGATTGTCAGTGGGAATAAAGGCCTCACATACACAAATAAAGCATAAATTATAGAACATGTCCCCTGTGTTGGGACTTGTGGAAAAGACTATATAGACATACTTGTGGTAAATGTGACTCACTGGCTTCATGCACACTTGGGAATTCTAACTAGTGAGGGACTGCTGCCCCTTGGTTGGAGAGGAAGTGATAGGCAAGAGGACTGAGACCAGGTTAAATTGTGCAAATCCAGTAGGGCACTGTCTCCTCTGGGGCCAGATCAGGTCAGATTCAAAGCCATCTACTGCTTGTTTCCTTTTTATTTTACTGTGTGTGTGTGTGTGTGTGTGTGTGTGTGTGTGTGTGTGTGTGTGTGTGCGCGCGCGCACACTCGTGTGTCTTCAGATACCCTCGGAAACCAGAGAGGGCACTGAATCTGTTGGAGCTGGAATTGCAGGTGGTTATGAGTTGGGAACCAAACCCGGGTCCTCTGCAAGACAGCAAGTACTTTTAGTTGCTGGCCCCTCAGTCCAGCCCCCTTCACACGCAATCTTTCTTTTTCCTGGCTTAAGATGTAGTAATAATTAGAGACTGACCGGGTTATCTCAGTACTCAGGATGCTAAGGCAGGAGGATCACAAGCTTGGCTAGCCTGAGCTGCCTAGTGAGCCTGTTTCGAAAATAAAAAAAAAAAAGCATCAAGACTAAACGATTAGCAAAGACACAGCAGTTGGCCTACCTCTTCTTCATACTGTTGAAAGGCTGCCAATCCCAAAGATTAAGTATCAGTTGGCAATGAGCCCTTTCTGGGGGCGTTCAAAATGACAAGCCCTAGAACCAGATTTTCAGATTGCCTGGTATCTTCTGGTGTTCGTATCTGAAGATAGTGAGAACAGATGTTAGCATTAGCATAAGTTTTGAAGTCAAAACTTCTGACTTCATTCTACAAAGAAATAAATGCAACATAGAGAAGTTAGAGAGGTCAGATTCGAAAGATTTGTTTTTCTTTAAGTTTCCCTGAAAAGGCTTTCATGGTGTGCTGTGACCTTAAGAGGCGCGGGAGCCATCTTTGGAAGCAGTCTCTGCTGGGTGTGCAGAGAGAGCGCTGGATCTGTGGTGAGATGCTGCACATCATTTGGGGAGCACTGGGTAGCAGGTTCTGTGCAGAAAGACCGTTTCCTACTTTATAGAGGAAGGTTAATGAAGACATGAGACTACTGTGTCTTCATGAAACAATTAAAATTCCATCTCTCCCAGGCCAGCCAGAAATGACTGGGTGTGAAAGTGCCTGCCTCCAAGCCTGGTGACCTGAGTCCCATTCCTGTGACCCACAGGACCACACTGATTCCTGCAACTTGTCTTCTGATCTCTACATGCTAACACATAGTAAACAAACAAATAAATGTAAAAAAAAATTAAAATCCACAGCCATCTTTCGGTTCTATCTAAAGGCAGGTGGCAGAACACTGTTAATCTGCTATAGCGGTCTTAAAAGATCATACCTGCATTCTTATAAAATGTGTCTATACTTTCTAATATCACAAGATCCCTCTAGTTCCTATGGGCAGTATGCTTCTCCATTTTACAGGATTTGAAAATAATTGCAGAGCAGGTGCATGGTGTTTGTATACAGTAATTTGCTTTGATGTTTATATTTGGTGATCCCCATACACTTAGCAAGTTCTTGATGAACTTGATGATGCCTGTATTGCTCCCTCCCATATTCCATGGTTCCTTGCCCTGCCCAGTGGGACATGGCAGGTAAGTGGAGAACTGTGGTTGGAGGAGGCAGCCTTATTCCAGTTTAACTGTATGCAATCCTGTGGTTTAAAATTCAGCAAGCCTGTTCTGAGAGCTCTCTCAGGGGAGAAAGGAGGATGATAGAGCGCTTTGTCATAAAACTGTCGCCAAGTAGTTGGACTTTTAAAACAGAAGCAGACGGTTGCTTTGATTATAGGAGCTGGGGCCCTAAGACAGTGAAAATTTCTCTCCAAAACTGCAGAGAAAAGCAGGGGCCTTGTGGCGTCAGACACGGGGAACTAAGACACATCAAGCCACAGCAGGGTTCCGCCTCCTCCTTCCCATAGCGGGGATTTCAGTTCATTGAGTAATCCGAAGGTGTGGGTGCTATTTCTGTCTTCTCTCTTCTTTCCCAGCTCCGCAGTCTGTCAGTTAAGGCTGTGGCAGGATGCCTGGGGATCCTTCAGCCCTGCAGCTCTCCACATAGGGGGTGGTTTACAAAGCAGGATCCCCAGCATGGGTGAGCCCAGTGGCTGTGGACTTGTCAGCCCCCTCTCCCCTCCTGTCTCCTTACACAACCGCTTGTTCCAGACAGAGCTCAGTACTGAGTGGTGAGTGTGAAGTGGATGTGTTTGAGAACAATTCAGCTGCTTAACTCTTTTTTCCTGAAGTCTATAAACCACCAATACTCAGTTTTGCTCTGTGGACTCTCTGAATGCTGTGGTTTGGGAAACTTGACCTATCTGGTTTCAGTCTCCATGTTGTTCCTAGGAAGGGCTTTAAGTAGACACTCCAAATAGAAGATAACCTCTGCTAACAGCCATTGAAATCAGAAATTTCTGGAAGCGTACTGACAGCATGGCTGTTTTTTTTTTTTTTTTTTTAAACGAGTACTGGTCTGTGAGAACAGCACAGGGTCCTGAGTGCTACTGAGATGAAGAGATGGAACACAGCCTCCATTTTGTATTGAGCGTCTTAATTGATGGGTAAAATAAGCAATGGCGCCCCCCAGTGGCAGACTGTTTCGAGGATCATCCCTTCTAGGATGTAATTACTTATTCATTCAAGATTGCTTTTATATATTGATGATAAACACTTTTTATTTGCGAGCATGAGCCGTGTGTGTGTATGTGTGTGTGTGTGTGTGTGTGTGTGTGTGTGTGTGTGTGTGTGTGTGTGTGTATGTGTTCATGTGTTGGCAGGTGCATGTAGGGAGCCAAAAGAAAACCTCATGGTACCATCTGCCGTGTTTTGTTGTTTTACTGAGGCAGGGTCTCTCACTGGCCTGGTACTCATCAAGTAGGCTAGGCTGACTGACCAGTGAGCCTCAAGGACCTGTTTGTCTCTGCTGTAGCGCTGGGATTACAAATGCCAGCCAGCACACGCAGCTTGCTTGCCCCCCCACCACACACACCATGTGCCCCCGCCCCATGTGGGTTCTGGGTCTGTATTTCAGTGCCCATACTTGTACAACAATGGCTGCTTCATGGACTGAGCCTTCTCCACAGTCCCAACCCATTTCCCCCCATAGCATTTGATGGACTTTCCTCAGTGTCTACAGGTCTATGGTTAGCTTCACAGACACGTTATTTCTAAGAATTACCTTCGGGGTCAGTGAGATGCCCCAGCTGGTCAGGGCACTGGCTGCCAAGACTTAGGACCTCAGCTCTGCCCCTAGAACCCACACAGTGGAAGGTGAGAACTGGCTCCCACAAATTGTTCTCACACTTCCACATGTGAGCCATGGTTCATGAACATGTGTATGTGTGTGCACACACATACACACATTCATAATAAATGAATGGATGAATTTCAAAACTTAAAAAAAGGCACTATCTTGGATTGACCATATCAGTGACTTAAGAGCCTGGACTTCATGATTCAGTTTCCTGAGCCCTAGGGGGACATATTTTTATGTTCCTTAGAAGCATCACGCTGAAGGGGTGATGTTGACGGCTTAGTTAAATGCTTGCAGGTTGTTCCATAGCAAGTCAGTCACAGTGCTGGCCGGGGAAATGCAGTCCTCAAACGCCCCTCTTTTTATTTGCTACTGTTCAAATCATGCCTGTGTCTCACCACTTGAGGCTGGGCGGGCCGTGCTCCCAGGAAAGCTTCTGGAGGCTTCCATCCCACCCACCCGGGGAAAAGGGGAGCTGGCTATGTCAAGACTGCCCTCTTGAGGACACACTTGTTCCAGCTCCTGTGGTCCCAGCTCGCTCAGCTCACGGGAACGGAATGGCTTTCCAGACATAACATTGCCTCAAGTTATGTTTTTGGTGCTTGTCTCCCTCAGGTCAGCCACCACCCACCTATCTCCGCCTGCCACGCCGAGTCTGGAAACTTCGTTTTCTGGCAAGGTATGTGCTGATCCATCTGCCCTCGGCTCATAGCACTGAAGATGTCCTTTTCTCCAGGGACTGCTCAGTGCTTGCCAAGGTCAAAGGTGGTCCCCAGACCCGCTCTTCATAGAGACTCTGCCCACCGGATGCCCTGGCTTCTCCCACCTCGACAGCAATTGACGTTTACCACATACTCACTGACGGCATGTTATTTCGTTTGTTATTGTGGATGCTCAGAATTCAAAGATCAATTCTTTTTTTTTGGCCTGTTAAGAAACGTCCTCCCTCTTTACCTGAGTCACCTGTTCTCGGAGACTTTCTTCCGTCTCACTCTCTAACTTCTGGAAATGCCTCACACCGCAGGAGTTGAGCGTTCCTGGCCGGTCAGCTAGGCAGCCAATGGGTTTCTGGCTTTTTAAAAATTTAAATTCTGTTTCCAAAATTACACTTGACACCTCTGACTTTTATTCATCTTCATTTTTATGAACATTTTTAACCTACTGAGCTTTCATTTCACTTATTTAGTATGTGTGTGTGTGTGTGTGTGTGTGTGTGTGTGTGTGTGTGTGTGTGTGCATGTGGAGATCAGATGATAACTAAGAAGACTGGGCTTTCTCCTGTCATGTGGATCCGAAGTATGGGACTCCTATCATCAGGCTTGGTGATAAGCCTGAGCCGTCTCACCAGCCCCTTGTTTTTTGTTGTTGTTTGGGTTTTTTTGGTTTTTTGAGACAGGGTTTCTCTGTGGAACTTTGGAGCCTGTCCTGGATGCTAGGTATGCAGTTACCAACTGAGTAGACCAGGCTGGCCTCGAACTCACAGAGATCCGCCTGGCTCTGCCTCCCAAGTGCTGGGACTAAAGGCGTGCGCCACCGCCGCCCAGCTACCAGCCCCTTGCTTTTGTTTTTAAGGTTGTTTGGAGGTTCCCTCTGTGTTTTGTGTGGTTGTTGCCATCTTTCTTTGTTCGGCTTTTGTCTGGCTTTGTTTTTGCTATTCTCAAGATCATAACCCAAAGGTTTGAGAAAGACAGGCACACTTCTACCCCTGAGCTTTGGCCCTTCTTTACATTTGTGGGGTTGTTTTGGAATCAGTGTTCCTAAAACTTACATTTGGAGATGGGGGAGATGGCGAGTTGTTCTAAAAATAATGCCCCAGGTTTCTCCTGCGTGAGGTAGTTTTGTTAGGTTTTCATTTATTTAGAAGATTGGAGTACAGTAAGAGAAACTGTGTATCCCAGGTTTTCAAGAAGTTGAGCACACATCATTTTTTTAAAAAGTATAGTTTTGTTTGTTGGAGACTGAGACTCATGTAGCCAGGACTAGCCTCAAATTCACTGTATAGACTAGGATGAAGCAGAACTTCTTATCCTCCCAAAATGCTGGGCTTCCAGGCGTACCCCACCACACCTGGTTCACACAGTATGGAGGACTGAACTCAGGGCCTCGTGCATGCTAGGTATGCAGTTACCGACTGAGTTATGCCCCCAGCCCCTAATCAGTTTATAAAAACATTTCCTGGAGTGATGTTGCCATTTGGTTCTCGTGCTGTCTTTATACACATGTACATAGGCATATATCTATGTGAGATCTGAAAGTACCAGAGCACACTGTAACACTTCCCTTTTTCCTGCTCCATTATCCACTTATCTCTGTATGGATGCAATCGATCTTACCCATTGAAAGTTGAAAGCAAAGTGTTTCTTTTCTTTAATCTTTGCTATTGATGCTTTATATTAAATATTGAAGCTTCACCTGAGATTCCGCTGCTTTTCACCAAAGCCTTCTTGTAGCAAGTCTTTCTCTGTCCTGACAGCCCCCAAATAATGACATATAGATTTCTTATTAATTATGAAAGCTTGGCCTTAGCTTAGGCTTGTTTCTAACTTATAACTTAAATTAACCTATTTCTATTCATCTGTATGCTATCACATGGATCGTGGCTTTTACCTTTCCTTCTGCATGTCCTGTTTCCTCTGCATCCAGTTGATGACTCCCCCTTTCTTCTTCCCAGAGTTCTCTCTGTCTGGAAGTCCCACCTATAACTCCTGCCTAGCTATTGGCCATTTAGTTTTTTTATTAAACCAATCACAGTGATATCTTTTTTTTTTTTTTTTTTTGAGACAGGGTTTCTCTGTGTAGCTTCGGAGCCTTTCCTGGAATTCACTCTGTAGCCCAGGCTGGCCTCGAACTCACAGAGATCCACCTGCCTCTGCCTCCCAAGTGTTGGGATTAAAGGCATGCGCCACCGCTGCCGCCACTGCCGCTGCCACCACCACCACCGCCGCCTGGCTACAGTGATATATCTTTACACAGTGTAATCAAATATCTCACAACACCTTCTGGAAATGTTTCTCATAAGACTCCTTAGCTCCTACCTGATAAATCTCATTGGCCTTGTAAGTGCTTCTTTATTGTTTTCATAAAACTTTGCATTTTTGTTTTTAACAAGAGAACCTTCTCAGAATAGTCCCTTGATGCTCTTTTTATTGTACACATTCCTGCTCACTGTTTTCTGGGTGATTCCACCTGTTCCCTTGGTGTAGGATCTTCATATTTTCCTCATCTCATCTCACATTTCTCTGCCTTTTAACTGGGTTGTTTAGATCATTTACATTTATTGTGATTATAGATGTAGGTGATTTAAATGTGCCTTGTTTTCTAATTAGTCAAATCTGTTCCTTGCTCCCCCTCATTCCTTTTTTTAATGCCTTCTTCTGAATTAGTTGAATACTTTTCTATATGCCCATTTTATCTCTTATGTTGGATTATATCTATAGCTCTTTATTTTGTGCCTTAGTTGTTACCTTGAGATTATATATCTTTAAGGTGTTGCAGTCTGCCATCAACTGGCATTGTTATATATCAATTTTCATGTAGTAAGAAACATAGCAAAGTAACCCCAACCTTTGTGAGATTTTATGTGTGTTACAAATTTAGCAATGCATTGTTATCTTTGTTGATAAGTCTCCCTTTTTCAGTTTTTGTACCAATTTTATTGAGAAATACTCACATACTGTATTGTTTACCCACTTAAATATATAACTCTGATTTTTTATTAGCACAATTAATTTTAAAATAGTTTCATCACTCCAAAAATAGCTTTTTTTTTTAAGCTAACAGTGCTCTCACAGCTTCCTTCAAATCCACCTTTGCAGTCTTTCATAAAAGGACTCCACTTGCCTCTCTCATCTGGACCACAGCCATGCGTCTGCCGGCCTCCCTCACCCCTACAGTTCTTCTGTCTCAGTGCAGCCACTAGACAGGGCCCGCTTCCCATCTTGTTCTCCCTTTTCTCTCTTGGTGGTGGCATCCAAAAATTAGGACAGCTGATGCCGCTTGTAAATGTCCCCTCCTTTTCTCAGCCTGTGTCTGTTTGCTGCTCCGTCTCCATTTTTGCTTCTTTCCTCGTGAGCCACTGCACCACAGCAGTTGGCTTGACTCGCTTCCCTCCTGCTCATCCCCTGAGCAGCCGCAGCAGCCGGATCTCCTAACCCCTCGCTTTTAACGCCTCCTGCCCAGACTCTGTTCTCTGTATGGCTGTGACATTTTTTTGCAAGGTTTTTATCTAATCACACTGGTTCCCTGATTCTTTTCAGCTCAAAGACGACTTCTTAGCCAGGCTTGCAGAACCCACTATTGCCTCAGCCTGACTTTCTACTCTTCCCCTTAGATAATCTCAGACCTACAGGTCAGAGCCTTGCTTGGCTCTCTTACACCTCTGACGCTTTAAATACTATTTACTTTCCCAACAATACTGATTTCTCTATGCACCACGGACAGACTCATTTGCATTCTGCAGAGCCCTGCTTTCACAGGGCCCTTTCTGAGGAGCCTCTTTGAGGCTGCAGCACCCTGGGGACAGCCTGTGTCTGTGTGACTTCAACTTGTCTTCATCTTGCTTTTGTGCTGTTGACTCTTTCAAGAGGACTTTGTCTTACAGCTTTGTTTTCCTGATTCTGTTTTGGGGACCCTGTTGGGTACCCATTTCTAGTGCATGAACAGTTGTCTCCATTAGAACTAATTTATCTGTGGCGGTTATAGGATGAGCAGTCATTTGTTGAGCCTGAGACCTCTGGTCTACGAGCTGTCTTGCTTGAATGTGTGATATTTGGGTTTTGTTTCAGATGTGAGATGGAAAAACAAATTCTGGGGTAAATCCATGGAAATCGTCCCAATCGGCACAACCCACGTGACGCTGCCAGCGTAAGTTCCTCCGTGTTAGGAATGTCAGCTCTCAGGCCAGGAGTCCACGTTAGTGGTCTGTCCAGGCTGCCCCACCCTGCCCCTGGCTTGGAGATGATGCTTTTCTTTTTCACTCCGTCTAGCAGTGGGTTCAGGTAGTGGCAGGCTCACACTCTGGTGTTTTCTCTCACTGGGTGGAAATGCCCCCTGCAGATAATAGCTCTCTCTGCACAGAAGCTTTTAAAATTCATTTTTGCTCCCCTTCAAGAGAAGGGGTCATTTTTCTTTATCATTGTGGTCCTGCCTCGCTGACAGAATTCCCTCAGAGACAGATGTGGCTTTGGTGATGCAGGCATCACCAATAGGTGTTTTTAAAGCAAAGGGATAGTGGATCCAGAATTCGGGGCCAGGCTATGGGGCATCACGTGCTGCTGTGCCTCATTCTCCCGTGACTGTTGGCCAGGCCGCCACGCCTTCCTTGTCTCTAGCACCCTCACCTGCCTCACAGGACACGTGGGAAGATTAGACACATGTTATGCATAAAGCACTTAAAATATTGCTTACTATTTCCTTATAGTTGCTACTTAACTGTAAGCAATGCCTAAGTTCTTTCTCATGAAAAGATGTAAATAATGCATAATTGTTGAAGTGGGGGAGCCTGGCTTCCCCCCCAGGTGCTCCCTTTTGCCATTTTTCCCTTCCGTAGTCGGGCAATTTGCTGGCTCAAGAGCCTCAGCTTACGTGTCACTTGGAGCCTTATTTGATGCAGGGTCTGCGAATGAGGGCTGAGTTCCCTGCCTTGTATGCAGTAGGATGCCTGCCACATCTGTGGCCGGCTCTTCTGGGAGCCGTCTTTGACCGCTCCTCTCTTCCAGCTTCGGAGATCACTTTGAGTGGAACAAAGTGACTTCCTGCATCCACAACATCTTAAGCGGGCAGCGGTGGATCGAGCACTATGGTGAGATTGTCATCAAGAACCTGACGGACGACTCCTGCCACTGCAAAGTGAACTTCATAAAGGTACCTTGAGGGAGCCGAGCTCCTGTGCTGGAGGGCGGAGGCGGGGCCAGGTGCCCAGAGCACAGGCTGTCCTTCAGTCTGTCCCTTGACTGGGACATTGACCCTGCCTGCCTCCCCTACCATCTGCCCTCAGTGCAGAGCCTGGGAGATTCTTCTGCAAGATGCCATCAGACTGTGACACAAAGGTGCGGGACACATGATGCTAAGTGGATAAACCGGATGTGAAAAGATGTATTCTATATGATCCCAATGACATGGATTCCCCCAAAAGCCAAGTTTATAGAGAAAAAAAAAAAAAAAAAAAACAGAGCAGGGGCCATCAGGAACTGGGTGGAGGGCAGGATAGTTTGTGTGTCATGGGTTTGGAGCTTCTGTTTGGGAAAAGGAAAAAGTTCTAGAACTAGAAAGTAGTGACAGTTGTACACCATTGTGACGGTACTTCATATTTTTGAGCTAGGCATTTAAGAATGGCTGAAATGAAGCCAGGCTTGGTGGCATGCACCTGTAATTGTAGCATTCAAAAGGCTGAGGCTTGTGAATGGTGAGTCTGAGAGCAATCTGGACTACAACAGGAGACCGTCATGAAAGAGAGGACTTGGGCGGGGACAGCTATGCCTGTGTGCTTTGAGGAAAGGCGTGACCAGCCGTCACCTTAACAAAGCTTTCCACTCGCTTCCATCCTCTCCAGCAGACGTCTGCAGCCTCTCAAAGACCCACGAGGCTCTGCACCGTCAGCCCTCACCCCTTGGAATGCACATGCATCCGTAGTACGTGCACACACACACACGTGTGCACACTCACCCTCACCCCTCCCCAATCCTCGCTCCCGCCACCCTTGCTGCTCCCCTCTCACTGCTGTCTGCCTCCTCAGCCACTGAGCACACCGGCCCTGCTTTCCCCGCTTCCTCCCCACTGGCCTCCTTCCTCCAGATCCTGATGTTACCGTCTCATGCTGTCATCCACTCGATTTCACCATCCGACATTCTTCAAGGGTTTTGTTACCACTGAAGTGGGCTTCCTAGTTCTTTCTTTACCCATCTGTCTCTCTGCCCTCTCCACACCCTCCTCCTTGCCATTCCTAGCTCCGCAAGAGTAAAGGCCTGGTTGGTCCTGTTCTTCCTACAGCTCTGACTGGCCCTTGATGCCAACAGCTGAGGCTCAGAACATTCAGAGACAAATGGAAAGGTCAACCATTGTGCAAGCAAATATGTGGGTCTCTCTGACTTCCTTAATTTGAGTCCCACCCCTTTCCCTCCCTCCTAGAAGCGTTTTACTTTTTAAACCCCGTGTACTTAAAGTGGCTTTAAGGTATAGCCTTTGCCAAAGAATGTTTGTATTTAACTAAGATCAAAACCCCAAACTGAGTGCAAAGTCATACATTCCTCTCGGCACCGCCTGTAACCCATGGGGGACATCTGTGAGGTTGACCAGGCAACTGGGGCAAGAATGTATCCCCCTAATCCAGGTAGACCAGCTGTCCACACCTCCTCAAAGGAATATGTTCACTCCCTTGTCTACCCTGTTCTCATCTACTCAGGACCAGAAAAAGAATGAGAAGGCTGGCCTCAAACTCAGAGCCGTCCCCCTGCATCAGCCCTGAGTACTGAGATTACTCAGTGTGTCCACCATCACACGGCTTTACAGGAAATATGCATGTAGTTATCTGAGATGGTGTAGTTATTTGAGTTGGACTTTGGTTGTTGGAAGAATCTGGGAGTAGATACAGACATGTGTGGAGCATGGCCGTCTCCTCTGCGGCTTCCCATCCAGTCATCAACATTTGCTTTGTTGATGACTGTCGTAAAGGGCAAAAATCTGGCCCCTGCTTCCCAATAAACCGAGGGGTCTGGGATCCATTCTTCTCCTGCCACTTTCATGTGGCTGGAGAACTCATTCAGTAATTTCGCGTTCACTTCTCTGGCGCAGCTGCGTCCCACCCTCCCTCTGCGTTTTACCAAAGCTTTGAAGGAAGGAAACTGAACCAGCAGAAAACGACCTGGAAATGCCACTACAGTTTCCAAATATGGCTCCAGTTTCAGCTGAAAATAGTGCCAGGGCTTTGGATTTATGTAGAAATGCCTTCTGTTCATGACAGTTTTTAAGGGTGGCCAGGTACTTGAGAGCTTTCCAAAGCATCGCCTCTAGGGAGTTGGCACTCCCTCTGCTGGCTGGAGAGCGGTACTGTGTAAACTAGGCTGAGCGGAGCTGTGCTCTCAGGGGCTGGGATGAGAAGAGCTGAGCACACTAAGCCACAGTCAAGGCTGCCTCACAGACCACTGATATGTGCTGAGAAAGTGGCTTGTAGGAGGTCCCTGCAGCTAGAACAGCCTAGAAGGGGGGAATAGTAGAAGCTGCAGTTTTAAGCAACCTCCTTAACTAGTATGCAAGTGACTATTTTCTTCAGGTAAAAAGAATTATGAGTTAATTTTAAATTGTAATAGCAAGAGCTCTCCGCCTTTAGAATCAGTGTCATGCCTGGGGCAGCTGCTAATACATAGCCAGTTAGCACTAGCTAATGCACTAGGTACTTGGCAAATGCCTGAGAGCTGAGTTTTGCATTCCTATGTTACACAAAGTGAAAGTAGCAAAAGTAATAACCTACACACACGTTCGTTATTGGGTTGCAAACTGCAGATAGGAGACTAACTGTAAATTTTACTAAATAGCTAAAGGTATTTTTTTAAATCCAGAGCCTAGGCAGGCTATGGGACCAGGCTAGAAAAATAAATCCACATGTTTACACTTAATTGATTTCAAAAAAAGAACCCCAGTATGACACGGTGAGAAAGGGCAGTTTCTTCAATAATGCTGTTGGGAGCACTGGATAGCCACAGGCAAAAGAGGAAATATTTGCAATCTGACAAGGTGTTAAAATGCAAAACATACCAAGGAACTCAACTGGAAGAAAACAGTGGATAACTAGGGAGCTGGGTGTGGTAGTGCACCCTGGTAAGACCAATACTTGAACTCAGGCGGCTGAAGCAGGAGGATCACTGTGAGAGCTATACAGCAAGAGCCCATCCAAAAAATAAAGTGCAGTCTATACACAGATGAACCAATAGATGCTAGACAGAGTGCCTGAGCCAGGCTCAAGGCTAAAGGATCTTGCTGCAAGCCTCAGAATCTGAATGTGGTCTCCAGGACCTACATGGTAGGAGGAGTGACTCCTGGAAGTTATCATCCGATTTCCATGTGTGTGCTGTAGCATGCTCAAGGACACACACACATAAGCCAGTGTGTTCAACAAAGGCAAATAGAGCTCGGTGGCAGAGAGCCTGCCTCCTAGAAAAGGGGTACAAAGTGCCTGAACGACATTTCTAAGAGTGCAAACAGATAGATGAATGGATCTTCATCTAATCAATCATCCAGGAAATGCAAATTAAAAACCCTGTGAGGTGTCACCTCACTGCCTCTTAGAATAGCTCACACCAAGGGATCGTGGTGGTGCACACCTTTAATCCCAGCACTTGGGATCTCATGCCTTTGCTCCCAGTACTTGAGAGGCACACATGCCTTTAATCTCAGCACTATGGAGGTGGAGACAGGAAGTGATATGGCTGGACAGAGAAAGGAATATAAGGCAGGAAGAGGCAGGAGCTCGGTCTGTCCCCTGAGGAGTTGGTGAGGTGAGAGGTGGCTGTGGCTTGTTCCTTTGTCTCTCTGATCTTTCAGCATTTACCCTAATGTCTGGCTCCAGGTTTTTATTAAGACCAATTTAGGATTTGAGCTACACATAGTGTCATGTAGTCCAGGCTAGCCTCAAATTCAATTTGCAGCTGAGGATGGCCTTGAACTCCTGATCTTCCTGCCTTCCTTGTAGAAGAGCACCACTGGGCCCTATCTTAGTTCTTTCTCTTGCTTTCCCCCCCACGCCCCCGCCCAATACCTGTAATAAGCAAATGCCAGAGTCTTACCCAGACCACTCTCATCTGCATTCTAGGCGAAGTACTGGAGCACCAATGCCCACGAGATCGAAGGCACAGTGTTCGACCGCGATGGGAAGGCTGTGCACCGGCTGTTTGGAAAATGGCATGAGAGCATCTACTGTGGTGGTGCCTCCTCTTCCACATGTGTCTGGAGAGCAAGTGAGTGTCCACCAGATCCTAGGCATGGAATGGATGAGTGTCTGGGTCAGGGCAGGGGAGCTGGGAGGGGTGAGTGCTACTCCGTAGCTCTAGGCTACCACCTGCTTGTGAGCAGGTTAACAGTACTGGCCCATCTGTCAAGTCCTTATCATGCTTACAGTAGCATCTTAGTTTGACTGCTAGGTTCTGTTCTGGGTTCTCAGGACCTCAGAAAGGAGCTGCCGTCAATCCAAGGGTGGCCTGAAGGGTTCTTGGGTTCCTGTCACACATGGGAGTATGACAAGCCCTGTCGGAATGCCTGTGAAGTGCAAGAGTAATTCTTGAGCAAAGAGGAAAGTGTCACTAGAAAAACAGTGACCTGGGCTTCCCAAAGCATGCAGGATCCTCCAACCGGCCCAACCCCAGAAGCCACACTGTATCCCAGAAGATACAGCCCCTGGAGAAGCCGTGCCAAGAAGGCTGTGGAAGCCCAGCCTCCCAGCAGCACTTTAATCCTCTGACTGAAAAGTCAGAGTCCTTTTATTAAACCTCTGTCTCGTCTGGTTAAACGGGGGAGAGAAAGGTTGGGGGCTGGGATTGGGAAGAAGGGGAAAGAAAAACCACTCCATTCATCATTTAAGCCATGGGGCTACATGCCGTGATTTAATACTGAGTTGAGAGGTGATGGCTTCCTGTTGTTATCTCCACAGCCTACTCATGTCAGAGGCACAGGTCCACGGGGAAACACTATGCTACACGTGTTTCCTCCCATGTGTGAAGATGATTGTCACAACTCAGTATCAGGTCACCTCATAGCCGAATGCCAAGCAGGGAGAAAAGGGAGAACTAGAGAGCTCTTGGTCTTGCACCTCCCTTTTCTCAAGAATGAAGCATTTCCCAGGATTCCCAGCCAGTGTGTCCTAACAGCACATCAGCCTGAAGTGGGTCCTGGCCCATCCCCATACCAAGTGTGGGTAACAAGGAAGGCTCAGTTCACCTGACCTTGGGCTTGTGTTCCATGAGGACGAGATGGGGTCATAGGGCCATCAGTGTCTTTGTCAGTTGCAGCCACGTCTTCCTCCATCCCAAAGGTTGCTGTGGAACCAGAATGCCTCCCTAGCTTTGAGGCAAATAGGACTGTTCACATGGACAGTCTCTCATTTGCTGAAAGCTGCTTCATGGATCACTGTTACATTTGGCAATAACACAGCTTCACGGAATTAAATAAACACAACATGAAAGAATGCAACACATTTTTGTGTCATTAAACACATGTTCCACAGCATAAACGAATGTAACACATCTTCAACTAAGATTCTACAACATTTCACCCTATTTGCCTAAATAAAAATAAAAGATTTTTAACTTTAACATAGTGAAACTATTTACAACAAAAATAATTATCAAGTAAGAATTACATTTACAATGTCTAGTCCATTTGTATTTAGCAAATTCAGATAAAATACTCCATTATCTATCTTATCTTAGTGTTTCTAAGATTTTATACCTAATTTGCTATCATAAACTAAGGAAAACTGTAACTCTAACTATTTAGTCTTTAACTCCATCAAAGACCCCAGGAGGATATAATATTGCAGAGACATCTGGCTGCCTGGACAGTCACCCAAAGTTCCTCTGCAATGTTGGGGCATCTATCTTCAGCCTATTAGGCCTAGAATATCTGGTGGACTTTTCAGTGAAGCAGGAAATTTGAAGGACTGTCCCACCTTATATTGGCAAAGTTTGTCAGTCACTTTCCTCTGTGTCCTGCAGAATATCTGGCAGACTCTTCTGTGAAGAAGAAATTTTGAAGGCCTGTTTAGCCTTGCAAAGTTCAACAATCTTTTTCTTGTGTTTTTGCCACAATGAAAGCAAACTCCATATGGAGTTTCTTCGATGCCCATCATCCTTTTGTGAAGTAAATTAGTAGCTGCCCGCAGCAGATGTGTCGCATTGTCATGAAAAACCTTAGGTTGTTAAACATCTTAAATGCCACATTCTGTAGGTCTTTGAAGTGTTTGAAAATCATCTATCTGTCTAAAATATACCCGTTTAACCTTGAAAATATGCCTAATGTGACTATAAGTTTGATTACTATAGATTAACTACTAACCTAATTTCTTAATTATACAGTGCATTTTTAAATGAGCTTGCTGGTCACATATCCACATAAAAATGTCCTCCCTGAATGCTGCCACAGACCTACTTTTTGAAGCCTCCCATGTCCCACTGGCAGCTAATCCCACTACCTGTGTACCTTATCTTAAGCGTGCACACAGGAGCCAAGCTCCATGCTGCGCTTACTCTGAGACCCCGCCCACCAGAGTAAAGATGGGGGTTTCCTTCAACATGGGCCAGGAGAGCTTGAGGTCCATGTGGAGACAAAGTCAAGGAAGAATGGTAAGGATGTAACTGCTGTGGAATATTAGTTGAAGATGTATTACATTCATTTATGCTATAGAACATCTGTTTGATGATGCAAACATGTGTTGCATCCCTTTATTTTACATTTGTTTAACTCTGTAAATCTGTGTTACTGTGCTTGTCTAAAACACCTGATTGGTCTAATAAAGAGCTGAACAGCCAATAGGTAGGGAGGAGAGATATGACCCCCAAACAAGAGTAAAAACATATATCCAATATAACAAAACTAACTTTAAATTTGTATCAATATAGCAAAATCCATGCCAGTGCAAAATATCTGAGATTAATAGTTGTCTTTTTATCCTGTATTCTTATTTTCCCCTAAATGATAACAAACATCCATAACCTACCAAATAACACCCAGTCACCCCATCTCTTGGGAATGTGGGCATTGTGCTCTCCAGACTGCTTCCTGTTGTCTGTGGGCAAAGGCATTTTTAGGGGTCCCTGAGACAATTGAGATAATGGCCAAGTCCTGGGAAGACCAGCTGTAACCTTTGTTGATATATATCACCTGTCAAGATTCAGGAGGTCTCCATGATCAAACCTGATCCATATCCACCCTGAAAGAATCCACAGCCTCTCGTTTCCTGTGGAAATAAAAACAAAACATCTTCTCCAAAGCAGTGTATTTTTTGAGTTCCATTTTAAAGTTGAGGCATTCTTAAAATGTCTAGGCTGCTTTATTTCATCAGTCCCTCTTTGAATTCCACGTCTCTTAGCAGCTGTCATTTGCTTATCAGCAATCAAAATATTTAAGGTCAGTACAGCAACATACAGGATCCAGACTCCCTGGGTATTTTTTATCTTTATGTGGCTTATTCTTTTATATTATTTTTACTGTCTCCTTAAAGAATTTATTATTTCTAAACTATTTCTTTCTATGACTGTCTATATCCTTTTTCTTTCTTTCTTAAACCTATGTACATTGTAAAACACACTGGAACCTGTTTAGAGTTTTTTTTTTTTTCCATCTGGACCTCTTTTACTGGATATCTCTAGTCTTTTTTGGACCACATAAGCCTTGAAACTGGTAAGTGGCGTGGCTAGGACCTCCACAGTGGCTTTAACAGCTGGTTCCACTGGCTTCTCAGGTCCCTGAAAGCCTTAAGCTTGCTGTCTGGTTGAGTTGGTCAAGAACTGCATTCAACCCCCGAGAGTTCTAGAATACCAATGCTTGCACCAGGCATTTTTTACCTAGGCTTTTTTTTTTTTTTTTTAACTTAATGGCTGCTCAGGGGCTTGCTGTAAGGCAGAAACTCTTAAAGGAGCCACGTCCTTTTGTTTTGTTTTGTTTTTGTTTTTCAGCTTTCTAAGGCCCTACATGGAAATTCGGGCCTCATGTTGGAGCAACGAAATGTAGTTGTTTTTTGTTTTTTGTTTTAACTCTTAGCTCTTTGGGGGCCCACCACTCACCTCAGCTCCCAAATAAATGCATGGCAATACATTCTTACTTATGAATGCCTGGCATTAACTTGGCTTGTTTCTAGCCAGCTTTTCTTAGCTTAAATTATCCCACTTACCTTTTGCCTCTGGGCTTTTACCTTTCTCTATTCTATGTACCTTTCTTTCCTTCTTACTCCGTAGCTGGCTGTGTGGCTATCTCCTGGCATTCTCCTCTCCTTCTCCTCCTCTCCATCCCCCTCCTTTCTCCTCTCATTTATTCTCTCTTCCTGACAGCCCTGCCTCTTCCTCTCTCCTCCCCTGGCTATTGGCTGTTCAGCTCTTTATTAGACCAATCAGGTGTTTTAGACAAGCACAGTAACACAGATTTACAGAGTTAAACAAATGTAAAATAAAGGGATGCAACACATGTTTGCATCATCAAACAGATGTTCTATAGCATAAACGAATGTAATACATCTTCAACTAATATTCCACAGCAGTTACATCCTTACCATTCTTCCTTGACTTTGTCTCCACATGGACCTCAAGCTCTCCTGGCCCATGTTGAAGGAAACCCCCATCTTTACTCTGGTGGGCGGGGTCTCAGAGTAAGCGCAGCATGGAGCTTGGCTCCTGTGTGCACGCTTAAGATAAGGTACACAGGTAGTGGGATTAGCTGCCAGTGGGACATGGGAGGCTCCAAAAAGTAGGTCTGTGGCAGCATTCAGGGAGGACATTTTTATGTGGATATGTGACCAGCAAGTATTAAGTGTCTGGGAATTCCCCTAGTCTGCATTGGATCTCGCTGGTGTACACCTGATCCTTAGCTGAGATCAAAGTTAGGGCAAAGTAGAACCCTATGTTCTAACACCGGGATGTGAGATTTTAGGGACTGAGACTTGGCCAAAAGAAAGGCAAGGGGGGAAGGAAGGAATAATGTGTTCTGATGGCCCTTGGGGAGTTCAGAACGTGTGCAGTTGCTGTGGAGTTCTGGGGGAGTTTGGCGTCTCTGTGTGAACATGGGTCTTCTGCAGTGGGAGTTGACTAGTTAAGCAAAGGCCTAGTGGGTTTATTTATTTGGTTTGTTTTTTTAAAACGTGTGTGTGTGTGTGTGTGTGTGTGTGTGTGTGATATTATGAGTGCAGGGATTATGCATGCCACCGTGGGAATATGGAAGTCAAAGGACTCCACAACTTTGTGGAGTCAGTTCTTTCCACCATGTAGGTTCTGAACTCAGCTCATCAGCCTTGAGTGGCATCTCACTGGGCCCCTGGTGTGTATATTTGAATAACAAATTCTGTGATCACTCAGACAGTACAGATGCTACTCAGCACTGAATAAATTCACTAAAGGACCAAGGTAAAGAGACCATATCCCTGGGATAGAAAACTCAGGCAGGAAAATCTGTAGAGAAATGCTCAGTAGCTGCTTGTTAGTCAGAATATTTTATTTTTTTTTTTTTTTTTTTTTTTTTTTTTTTTTTTTTTTTTTGGTTTTTTTCGAGACAGGGTTTCTCTGTGTAGCTTTGCGCCTTTCCTGGAACTCGCTTTGGAGACCAGGCTGGCCTCGAACTCACAGAGATCCGCCTGGCTCTGCCTCCCGAGTGCTGGGATTAAAGGCGTGCGCCACCACCGCCCGGCCAGAATATTTTAATAGAAATGGAACAGTTTAGAGTCAGAGATGAAAAAGGTGAAGGAATTTAACTAACACAAATGAATTGCAAATGAGAGCGGGTGGTTTATTTCTCTTTCAGACCCCATGCCGAAAGGCCATGAGCAGTATTACGGTTTCACACAGTTTGCATTAGAGTTAAATGAAATGGATCCATTGTCAAGGTCTTTATTACCACCCACCGACACTCGGTTTAGACCAGATCAAAGGTAAGGATTTTTTCAAAGAGCTTTCTCTCCGGAGACATTTAAAACCATCTACAAAAAGTGGTATTCATAACTGCCTGGCTACCCGGAGCCTGTGATGGGAACTACCATCAGGTGTACAGGGACAAAGTGGAGGCTTGAAACGTCTGTCTCCGAGGGACTAGAGCCTGTACTTCCATCCTCCTGTGGGGCATCCTCCACACATCTGTGGGGCCCCATTTCTATTGAAATGCAGAAAAGAGGGGAGGCTTATTTTGAAGAATTTCACTGTGTGTAGTAATAAGGAATTTAATGTTTATTTGAAATAGTGAAAGTACCCAGCTCTCCTAACCCTCCAGTTGAAATGATTACAGTGAGTTGTATGGTCTGTGACAAGGCTTTTCCTCTTCCCCAGCCTCAGTTTCCTACTCTGGAAGAGAGAAGGAAGAATCTCCCCCAAGCCTTTTGTAATTGAGACTCAAAATCTAAGGGCTACATGAAAGGAAAGATTGCTACATTCGATTTAACTTTTTTTTTAAGCCTTAAATACGAGTATATAACCAAATTCAAAGACAATTGATCAACATAAATCTGTATTTACAATCTTACACTATGGATTTGGTCTAGAAATCAGTAACACGTCACTAAGTAGGGAGAAAATGGAATTGGGGAAATGAACAGTTCATGCATAAGAGGCTCGGATATTCCTTAAACATGGAGAGAAATTAAATTTTGCTTATAATATTTTTAAAATGCTAATTTTTAAATCCAGGTTAAAATAGCATCATTACCTTAGATTGGCAAAAAAAAAACACACCATTGTTGGTATTCGTGGCCACTGGCCACTCCCCCAGCCACGTGACCACGTATGCACTGGCAAAACAATTAGTCAGCCCTCACATCCTATGTAATCCGTGTGCTGCATGATCACACAATCTGCGCATGCGTGTCGTAAGCCCATATGCGCATGTGCAGGGGGATCCCTAAGAGGCGGACACAGACCCCTCCCTTTTCTCCTCTTCTCCTCCGACCCACCCTCTCTGCACTTGTCTTCCACAGACCTGGTCACACTATCTTTTGTCCCTCCCTTCTCCCTTCTAATAAAACTCTTGATAGTGAGTTTTGTTGTGCCTTGTGACTTTTCCTCCCTGAGTAAAAGCGCTTATTAAAGCCAACAACTATCTGTGGCTGGCGACAACATGCTGTAATATAAATAAACATATAATATAAAAAGGGGCAATATAAATTGCTTCAATTCCTTATAAAGTGTAGTTTTGTAATATATCAATTACAGACTCACTCTTTTGTCCAATACTCCTAAGTCTAGAAGTTTCTTGCACAGATACACTTTCTTATGTGTAAATAGTGGTTGTCCAAAGTCATTCATTGCAACATTAAATGTAACACTAAAAATAGTAGGAACAACCCAATGTCTACATGTAGAGCATGTTTGAAATACATTCACAAAACGGAATACTATACAGCTATTAAAAATGAAGGTGTCGGCCGGGCGGTGGTGGCGCACGCCTTTAATCCCAGCACTTGGGAGGCAGAGCCAGGCGGATCTCTTGTGAGTTCGAGGCCAGCCTGGGCTACCAAGTGAGTTCCAGGAAAGGCGCAAAGCTACACAGAGAAACCCTGTCTCGAAAAAACCAAAAAAAAAAAATGAAGGTGTCTGGGCACTACTGTGAGAAGTTCTCTAAGATGCATTGTTAAGTAAAAGGTAAAGTAAAGCAAAGCAGTCTTGCCACCATTTATGACCTTAAAATGGAATAAGAATCTGTATTTATATTTGAAAACCATGTACCCAAGAAATGGAAGTGTGGAGTTACCTGTCATGGGAGGCTGAGGGAAGTAGAGAGCTGGCTGAGGTTTCTCTGGATAGAGTTTTTGAACCCTGCAAAGATCACCCGTCCACAGAACTTTTATCTTCTTCTGGCCCAGAATACTGCATCATGGGCTGAAGAAGGGCCAGCCTTGGGCAGAGAAGTGGTTGGTTGTTATTTTTCAGCGACTGTTCCTTTCCTCTTTCCCCTCAATGCCCAGGCTTCTAGAAGAAGGGAACATAGAGGAAGCTGAGGTGCAGAAGCAGAGGATCGAGCAGCTGCAGAGGGAGCGGAGGCGGGTCTTGGAGGAAAACAGCTTAGAGCACCAGCCCCGGTTTTTCAGGTTTGTGCATGGGGGGGGGGGGGGGGTGCTGAGGGGTCCTGCCGACCTTCCGGATGCTGGTCAGACAGCAAATAGCATCTGCGTGACAGTCACTGTCCTGAAACAGGATTGGTGCCTCTCGCCGCTCCCTCCCTCCTCCCCTTGGCTCAGCAGTACCGCCACTGAGTCTCTCAGTCAACCCCTGTAGCAGGACACTGTCAGAGCTGCTCCTCACACCCGGCCGTCTTGTTACATCCATAGCTGAGGCTGGTTGCTGGCATGGCTAGATTTACATGACAGGCTGCTGATGTCCGCCCTACCGTAGAATTCAAAGTACCTATGCCTAGAATCAGCAGTTCCGATGTGTTTGTGCTCAAGTTCGAGAGATCTGATTGATCTTTTAAAATAACTTTCTGGAGCTGGGTGGCTGGTAATCATACTTGTAATCCCAGCATGAGGGGGGCTGAGGCAAGAAGATTGGTAAGAGTGTGAGGCTAGCCTGGGCTATAGTGTGAAACCCTGTCTGTAGATAGACAGACAGATGGATGGACGGATGGATAGATAAGACAGATTAATAGATGGATAGATAGACGGATGGATGGACGGACGGACAGACAGACATACAGACAGATTGATAAATAGATGGATAGATATATAGACAGGCAGATAGATAGATAGATGATTTGTTGAGAGGGTCTTGTTTACAATGTACGTAAAATTGTAAAAGGGCTGTGAGCAATTGTAGCCCTTACCCTCTCCCATCCTTATTCTAACTGAGGAGAAACAGAGGCCCAGAGAATAGAGGGGATTGAAGAAGAACCCGGTGGAATCTTCCAGATGGGGCCACGCCTTTCCTGACACCTGGCCAGTACTCTGTATGGGTTGGGGATTTGTTGCAGCAGCTTATATAGAGAATGCACACTCCTGGTAGGTCTGCTCCTGACCTACAGCCAGTGGTTTACTGATGTTTGGGGCAGGTCTGGTTTCATTTATCAGTACGGGCAACAGACGCAGTTTCCAGAAGGCTGTAGGGACTAATCCTAGCAGCAGAAAAAGTCTGTCTTTTAAAACATTGAGAATATCAGTCCTGGTGGTACAGACATGTAATCCTAACACTCTGGAGATTGAGACAAGAGGATTGCAAGTTCAAGGCCAGCCTAGGCAAGTTAAGAATGACAACAAAATCAAAACCCTGCCTCTAAAAAGAATAAAAATGGCACCCAGAACATGTGCTTTATTCCTAATGGAGTTAATGGCAGCTTAACTGCCCATCAGCAGGGCAATGCTAAGATGAACTGTCATCCATCCCCACAATGGAATATCACTCAACTGTTTAAAAAGGAGTGAGAAACCCCCATCACCGAGGTCACCAAGTTGACCTGTAATGAGCAGATGGTAGATGTTGCTGGCTGGGCAGGCGGTAAGGCCTCAGCAGTCACTTACTCCCCTGTTCATCGTGGAAGTAACCATAGATCCTATTTAAAGAAATGGGCAGGGCTGTGTTCTAATCAAACAGTATTTTGAAGGTGTGCGTGTGGCTTGGTGGGAGAATAGTTAGCATGCCTGAGGCCTTAGACTTGACCCCTAGCTTTGCAAACACAAACGCTCTCGAGGCCGCCTTGGGTCCGTGGGCCCTAGTTTGCTGACTTACCGTGGAAGAGTGAAGATAGATGGTCCACATCTTCCTGTCTGGATGGAAAACATCTCCAGTATAGACTGTGGTGTGTAATGGAAGGGATAGCGCACTGGCCAGTGCTGTGGAAGGGAGAGAAGGCCGTGTGTGGGCACGTGCAGGAGCTTTCTCCGGCAGAATGAAGCTGACGTCACTGCCTTGGGAGCAGACATAGGCTGGGAGGTAGGGCTAAGCGAAAATGGTAGACTCTGCGTCCTGTCACGCCTTTCAAGTGTGGATCTGTGTAGCAGGTTTGGTTATCTTTTCCCAGAGGAGTAAACCAAAAGTTCCCTCTCCAAACTGTTGTGGATCCAGTTCCAGTTCCTTTTTGGTTTGTTCTCTTTTTGGCTTTTTGCTAATTTAGGTTTACTTTGATCAACCTAGTTGATTGTGCAGTATTTAGTCATTCCCAGGGTGGTGGCTGTTAGCCTAGCCCTGTTTGATGTACAGCACACAGAGAGAGGATGGACGAACGGACGGACACACACACACACACACACACACACACACACACACACACACACAGAGAGAGATATGTTCTCTCAGAATCACTACCTTCCCAGCCTCCAGGCTTAAGAACTTAATGTCAGAAGCAAAAAATGGCTGCCAGCCTGCAGACACCACTCTGATACCCGATACCCAAACAAAGGAATAGTGGATGTGTCTGGAATGATGGTGGGAAGGAGGGGAAGGGAGGGTGTGATAGCAGAGTCTTTGAGAAGCTGTCTCATCTCCCACAGGAAATCCAGCGATGACTCTTGGGTGAGCAACGGGACCTACCTGGAACTGAGGAAGGACCTTGGCTTCTCCAGACTGGACCATCCCGTCTTGTGGTGAAAAAGCAAAGAAGAGAGATGTGTTAGTATACTTCCCTCACGTTTGCTTCCGGAAGCAGCGCACACTTGTGTCTGTACGTCTAAAAGATAGTATCTAGAACGATCACTTGTGCTTAGGTTAGCAGCGTAAGTACTGAAGTATATATTTTCTTCAGTAAGTTTCTTTACAGGTTCAAGTATTATCATGATTGTTTATATGAATGTAGAACACCTCGGTATTTCCTTTTATACATAAACTATTTAATAAAAATGAAAGATTGAATGTTAATGTGTGGGTTTAAAGAAAATGAAGCTTTAACACTAATTTCCCAAAGGTAAGGGGGAAAATCAAATGTATGCCTTATAAAATCACACTGGAGAAAACAGCTATCTCCCAGGTGCATTAAGAAATAAGAACAGCCGGGGTTGCTCACCCGTGCACTAGCTATCCAGGTTTAATTGGTAGCTGGGATATCTTTTTGCCTCAGACAGCTCTTGACTTGCTCATACAGAACAATCTGCTGGTGCTGAAGTACCGAGACTATTTTCATTTGCATTTAGTGGTTAAGGCGTCTGTGTGAGGTTGGTGGGATGCATATTTTTTATGTGAGGTAGGCATTGCCTGTTGGGAAGGGGAAGCCTTTTCTCCCTGTAGTTCTGTTGCCTTATATACAACACTCTCCCCCCACCCACCCACACACACTTGCTTAGATTAATCAGAGAGATCTCCAATAATCAGTGTCCTGATCGCATCCCAAGGAGGCAGAAGGCATTTCATTTTTTCTCAGTGAGAGCTGAATCCTTAACAGTTTAAGAAACTACTTTCAGCTTCCTGCCCCACCCCGGCTCACAAGCCCTCCTTCTGGCCCCTATTTCAGATGGAATGTCTCCCATGTAGTACAAGACATACAGTAAACAGCCTGCAGCAGTGTGGCCTTCTGAAATGTTAGTGCAGTCATGGGGGTTTGAAATAACCTGGCACATCCTTCTTTCATGTGTCTTTGGTGTTATCTACCTCTTACTAAGATCTGTACTCTCAACCATGTGTAGACATTTGACCATCTGCCTTATAGACAAGCATCAAGCATTCTTCTTCTGTGTCGTCCTGAGAAAGCTGCAAAGGTTTTACCTCTCTCCTCTACTCTCTTCTTATTTATAATACTCTGACATCTGCATCTGTCTCAGATAGGAGCTACCAAAACAAAACGGTTGTTCTTGTAAATGTCTTACTTCACATTACGATAATAGAATGTGTGTGGTAGCTGAATTGTGTTATCAAAACAATTCTGACTTCTGCCCAGAGCACATTAAAACCAAAGCCTGATTGTTAAGCCTTTGACTTGCATGTCTGTAATGATTCTGTGAAGTATTGTGTGTAATGGTAGGGTAAAGAGATTTCTATAGAAAGAATTTGAGGGGCCCAGTGAGATCGGCTCAGCAGGTAAAGGCACTTACTGTACAAGCCTGGCAGCCTTAGTCCAATTCCCAGGACCCACATAGAAGGTGGAAGGAGAGAACCAACCCCACAGAGCTGACGTGTGTCACACCAAGTAGCTGACTGGACAGCGCTGAGTTTTCACAATGGAGTGTTGAAAGTGAATCAGTAGTCTTTGGAGTCTTCAAGTGACTGTCATTTTAAACAACTCATTAAATATTGGTTCATTTATTCCATTTTATGGAGACATCAAGATGAACACAGTGGGAACCTCATTTCCATTTCTAAGCAGCTGGATGACACAGCCCGATTCTTTAGTTCCCATTTTTTTCCATTCCTTTTAAAGCATTATCCACATTCTGCTCACAGACTTGAGGAAGTGGGCTGTAGATTTAACGGCTCTCAGTGGGGAAACAAATCTGGTGTACACAATGTGAGTATAAATGTGGAAGTTTAGTAATATTGACTGTTAAATAGGCCTGCTCCAGAGGCTGGCTCAAAGGAGAAGGAAGAAAACAACAAAAACCAAAACCTAAAAAATACTACCGGAATGGATGCCACTTTGTGGTACCACTTATTTGAAAATTCTCTTAGATTATCTTATGGTGTGATTTCTAGCTTTATTTTTGGAATCCCATAAACAGCTGACCCAAATGTCACCTCTGTAGTCACCTTATTTGAATCAGAGACAGAAATGAACAAAATATGTTCCAGAGCCATATGTAAATTCTCCTAGTCCCTGCCAGTGTCTGGATGAGGGCTTTCTGACATGCTATTGGTCTGGAGGTACAACCTTGGTATTTAAATTTTAAAGCTCTCTGCAGGAGGGAGGAGGCTGCTACATTCCTTCCATCCTGTCTAACACACCCTTCCACCAACCTTGGGTAGGACTTGCATATTTTATAAGGAAAACAAAACTATGGTGGTGTTTGAGAAGAATTAAGGTAAAGTCTCTGGACTCTTAGCTTTTTCAAATCCATAATACCAATCACTGATCCATTTGACATTCCTGTTTCAGCCTCTCTCATTCTAATGATCCTAGTTCAAGTTTATGACGAGTTACAGATGTCCTCTTGCTGTAGAACCTTGTGCTAACCACGCACCACACCTCATGTGTTCCTCCTTTTAGTGCCCAAATTGCAACACATCCTTAAGGAATGAGCATCTTCAGTATAACAAAGGAAGAGGGCCGGTTTCCTCCACAGGTCCTTGGGTACTTGAAGGATGATATTTCCCCTCTACAAAGGTGGTAGTAAAAGCCTCAGTGCAGTTCACATCCTGATGCTAGGATGCTTCTGGTACTCACTAAACAGATCAGTTCCCCTCCCAGACCCCAGGGGGAGTCTGGTACTAAGTAAATAGATGCAGTTCACTTCCAAGGCACTAGGGTGAATCTGGTACTCACTAAACAGATGCAGTGCACCTCTGAGACACCAGGGAGAGTCTGGTCCTAACTAAACAGATGCAGTGCACCTCTGAGACACCAGGGGGAGTCTGGTACTAACTAAACAGATGCAGTGCACCTCTGAGACACCAGGGAGAGTCTGGTCCTAACTAAACAGATGCAGTGCACCTCTGAGACACCAGGGGGAGTCTGGTACTAACTAAACAGATGCAGTGCACCTTAGACAGGTGTTGGTGGTGGGGTTCTTGTACTAAATAGATGGAGGTTAACTTTAGGATATAAATACAGTTACTTATTAAGTAGCAAGAATGCCTCAGCAGTCCCCCAGTCTTCCAGTGCATCTGGGGGGCTTCCTGAAGGAAAAGTACACAAACTGAATTTTTTAATGTTTACTTCATTTAGGCTAATGTTTTCCTCAAATCCTATTTTTAACTACTTGCAGTAAATCATTTGCTCAGCCTTCTAGCACTGTCCTTCATCTGCATTTGCCAGAGTCAATTTATGATGAGATATTTTATTCTACCCTTAAAGATGTCAAGCCAAAAATAGAGGTAAGGGTTACTTTGCTTTTTAATGTAGGCTGACTGTGCACTACAAGCTCTCGGGTGGACTGTGGCTATTAGAGACTGTCCTCTTAGCTGCCAGTAAGAGCAGTAAGTTGCTCTCGTGAGCTTAGGAATAGCAGCTACAGTGTGCGGGCAGAATTTATCTGAATGTCTTTAGTTTTGATATCAACATCAGCATAAATCTATTTTTGCTAGCAGATTAAAGCTGTTTTCATGTGTTCAGTTTTCTGTGTTGTATCGATCTGTGACTGAGTATTTATCTTTCTCTGTTGAAAACCTACATATTGAACAAGTATCTGCAAATCATGATGGTCTACAGTGCAAGTGTGTTTTAAAGACCAGTTTTAGGGGATGCAGCAATCAGAAATGACTCATTTATTTCATTCATGATTTTTTTTTTAAATCTTCCTCTGTTGCCTCCAGAGGATATGCTTCTGGGGGCGGGGGGGGGGGGGACTGATAATTGTAAATCTTCTGCGTAACCATTTATAAAGGCTGAGTCGTACCTTGCTGCCCACACCTGTTTGGCTTCCCAGAAGCCCCTTCAATTTGTTGTCTCCCTACCCGAGTGGCTCAGTGACTGAGAATAAAGACTATACCAATGGCCACCTTTGTCTTTGTTTTCCTGGTTGTGGGCAGTTGATGGAAGGGGACAGCAAGATCTTCTTCAAGTCTTTCTAGAAGAATACACCTGCTCGTCTAAAGCAACAGATCCTGAGATACTGAACTTGGGAAACACTGGGTTGCTGTAGTCTTCACCCCACATTTCCCAGTCATCCTCAGCTATTAGAATAGGCACTAGTTGCTCCAGGGAGGTCACCTCTAGTCCAAGCATTCCTGCTCTGCTCACTTACTATGCTATGGAAATAGCATTTCCTGTGTGTCACAACATGAAATGGAAGCATGCTGATAACACTTGTGCCATCACACAGATAGTGACTGATCCATCTCCCCTATCCAAGTCACGTCCCTGAGCATTCATGGGACTTCATTTGGTTCAAGTTGGTATGTCCCAGCATCCTTCAGAATAATGTGTTGCTAAAGGAAATCTTGTTGTTAGAGTTTTCCTGCCTATCCCACAGTCAGGACAAATCTTTGTCACCCACCAGTCCCACAGCCACTCAGACCCAACCAAGTAAACACAGAGACTTATATTGCTTACAAACTGTATGCCCGTGGCAGGCTTCTTGCTAACTGTTCTTATATCTTAAATTAATCCATTTCTATAAATCTATACCTTGCCACGTGGCTCATGGCTTACCGGCATCTTCACATGCTGCTTGTCATGGCGGTGGCTAGCAGTGTTTCTCTGCCTCAGCCTTCCACTTCCCAGAATTCTTCCCTCTCCTTGTCCCGCCTATACTTCCTGCCTGGCCACTGGCCAATCAGTGTTTTATTTATACAGAACGATATCCACAGCAAAATCTGAAGAGCATCCTCAACTTTGTAAGATACTGGCCACTGTTTGCTCATGTTGGTATTAAAGCATAAAGACGCCAACAATTGAGGAGACAGTTTGGAGGAATACATACACTCCAAGCCATTGGTTTACAATTTTAGCCATGTTCTCATTATCCCATAAAATACTAGCGACAGTGTAGTTCCCTGTCATCAGTAATGAGCAAGCCAGGACTGTATCCCCAGCTGGTGTTCTTCTCATACACTGCTTAGCAGAAGTCCTTCCAGGGGACACAGTCTAACCCAAGCCAGTCAAGAGAAGTAAATGGAAGGTCCAGAGCAAGTGTGAAGCATGGAGGATTATCAAGGAAGGAAGTCATTACTGCCTCAGTGGCGGCTAGAGCTCCCAAAATGGAGACACCATCAGAAGTGTGGTTTTGAGGTACATGCCACTTTGCCAGACAACCCAGAACAGTCTAGAAGAGCTATCCCTGCCTGGGTCTCAAACCAACTATTTGTGTAATGGTTTTAATGAGCTGAGAAGAAGCTCCTTAATTGCCATCATTTAAAATCATAGACCAGGAAAGATACATTAATTAAGAGCAGGTGGTGGTGGCACACACCTTTAAACCCAACATTCGGGAGGCAGAGGCAGGCGGATCCAGGACAGGCTCCAAAGCTGCACAGAGAAACCCTGTCTCGAAAAAAACAAAACAAAACAAAAGATTCTTAAATTTGGTTAAAGTCCTGGGAGTAATTTACACATATGTGTATGCATGTGTGTATGCACACACACACACACACACACACACACACACACACACACACACACACACACACACACAAAAAAAAATTTCCCCCAGGTATTTCAGACTTAGATAGCCCAGGCACTGTGCTGATCAGTATTTTAGTGCCACCATGGGACTGGGACACAATTGCCTAAAATTGTCATGCTGCTAGGGACAAGTTTCTTTTCCTAGATTCTGTATATTGTTTTATAGTGTCTTTGAAATTGAACCTGGGGACTAGGTGACCTTAGCTTTGATTTCGATGGAGTGTCTCTTTGTTGCCCAGGATGGACACCACAGGTGTGTGCTTCCTGCTCAGCTGTTTCTCGAGTAGCTTTCAAAAGGGCTGCACAGAAGGCGGCCCCAGCTGCTGCTGGGATGGAGTCTTGGGGACACATTTGTGGAGCAAAGAATGGTTTTAAACCTAGACATTTCTCCACCTTCAGAAGCCACCCTTTGGTGGCCAGCTGGTAGGTAAGTCAGTTATCACCACATGCTCAGAAGGCTCTGTCGCTCACATTGTCCAGGGAGAGATAGATGATGGCAGCATCTCTAGACTGGTGACTGACCTAGAGGAAGTCTGGCTCTTGGTGTCAGGGAAGAGCAGGGGGTGGGGCTTGTCGCCAGGGAAGGGAGAAGTTATAGGTGACTCAAGGCTTCTCGCCAAGCTTACTAAGTGCATGCTTAATCTTGTCAATTTATAATCACCATGGATACAAGTCTCTGGGCACATCTGTGAAGGAAATTCTGGTTAGGTTAGTTGAGGTGGGAAGACCCACCTAGTTGTGGGCTCGGATCTTGGAGTGAATGAAGGGGACACCAGGAGCTGAGCAGTAGCATTCTTCTCTCCTTTCTGACTGTGGCTGCAGTGTGACCAGTGGCCTTGAGCCTCTGCTCCATGATCATCCCCACCATAGTGAACTGTACACTCAAACTATGGAGTTGGTTCTTACCTTCTGCATGGGTCCCGGGGGTTGAGCTTGTCATCAGGCTCAGCAGCAAGTGTCTTGACCTGCTAAGCCATTGCCAGTCCCTCTTGCATGTCTTGCTATGTGAGGTGGTAGATGCTCTTAT